TGTCTAATGCGGCAGCGCGGGAAACCGACCGGGTGATACTGGCAATTGAGCCAGCGCCCAGACTTTTCATTGTCTAAGAGCGAAGCGTGCTGACATTGCAGTCAATAAACACGTCTTTATCCGGACCCGAAGAACCTTCACTGTGTTTCTAAGTGGCAACCCCCAAAAAGGGCGAATCCCACATCTGGCGCCCCAACGTGTGGCTTTCCGTTTACTGCAAAGACAGCAGCATCCATCTCCTTTCGCTAAGATAGCGAACCAGGTCAATTTCCGGCCAAGGATCAAACAGGTGGACAAAGGGAGAGGCGAACGCCGGACACCCAACGCCACTCAACGGCTTAGTGGCCACGTCAGCCACGCACGGACACAATGCAGTGTCTTTTCAGCCGAGCTCGCTTCCAAACGGAGGTGACTAAACGCCCGGAATACGTCCGAGGCATTCCCTTTCGGGACGACGCCAGCCTACTTCGCTGGGGAGGCGCACCTGCGCTTTTCGAGGTCAAGCCCGTTTCTCGAACAAAGCACGGTGACGGAACACAAAGCAAGTGCAGCTTTTTGCCTTCGAGACGGCTCGCGGGGCCCACCCAGAGTGGACACCCCGTCAGCGCACAAACTAAAAGCGTATCTCGGAGCGAGAAAATGCGCTGTGCCTGCAACAGCGGTCCCAGTCTAGCGAGGTTGCGGAGACCGCCGATTTTGCCCTTCGTCGCCGCGTCGACGGACCAGTAGCCATCAGGTTGACCAAGCGACCCCGGAACAAAGGCCCCCCGGGAAAACTGAGTGAGTCAAAACGATTTCCTTTTTACTCCGTCTTTCCTTCCCGCTATCAAGGGGCAGAGGACTGGCGTGAGCATGGTTTTCGGCTACTAGAATTTAGTATTTTCCGTTTACCCGCGATTGACTCCGGCCAAAAGTCAGTGAGCGTCGCACGCAACAATAACGTTAGGAACCTTTCAGGGCCACCTATCGAGTTGCAACCCCGTAAGAGCGACGTTAATGGTGAAAACGCCGCGGGGTCCGGGAGCGGTTCAATCGTGCTACCGGACAGTGCAACAGGTTGAACAGTGTCCCGGGATGATTGCGTGTCCGATTAAGGTGACCGCCATGCGGTCACTGGACGAGATCGTGAACCACGGCACTCGAGGTGTTCGTTGGGAATCGACGGTAGCACCGATGAGTTTTTGACGCTCAGCAGAACGATCCGGGGTGTAAATATGTGAATAGTTGTAAATACTGTCGCGGACTCTGCGGAGTCGGGCAGTGCGTCCGCCGGGCGGTACGCTCGCCACTAACGTCGCTAAGCAACTCGTATTGTTGCAGACGGGCTTTGGCAGCCGGGCAGCGTACTCGCCGGATCGAGCAACTCGTGTTGTTGCCGATTGGTGCCGTAAATAGTCTGGTATTGCTATTGGCATGGGGGTTCTTTTTTTTATTTGGAATCGGTTTCTGTTCTTGCTGATGCGGATAAACTCGTGCTACGGCGCTTGGTCTCTACGAACATTGCAGTTCAAGGTGGCTGTCCTGCGCGGCTAGGAGGTGCATTCGGTGCTCTCCTTTGTTCGCGTTGGCCAGGGCAGCACGCGGCTCCAAGACTTTTCGAAGTTAGGTCGCTGTGCTATACCTGGCCACAGGCATTTGTGTTTTTTAGCCTCAGGTAGAAGCTAACATGTTTGAAAAATAACAATGTTGGCGAGCCTGCCCGATTGCAGCCCTGCATCGTTTCAATATCAAGAAAGGACAGGGTGGCGCATTTGACATTTCGCTGCGCCCGCAAATCGAAGCGATTAGGCATCGTTAGCAAAAGCAGCTACAAAGCACTTTGCCTAGTCGATCAGTCACCAACAAATCCATTGTCCGGGGTGACGCGAGTCAGCTTGGTATGTGGACATCCGTGTTCACATTAAGCGGAGTCGTGGAACTATTTTCACAATAACTTCGCGAGCCGAGCCAGTGCGATGCACGTGACTCACGGCAGAAAAGACACCTTTGTCTCTGTCTTTTTTTTTTTTTTATCTCTGGGGCCTTGTGCACCCAGAGATTGGTCGAGTGTCCTCAGTTGGACGGCTCCACCTTGCTCGGAATTTCCGAAGCTTCCTTCTTGGGGAAAGAAACGGGAGAGGGCGGCAGAAGGCAGGCCGCATTCCAGTGGCCGGCGTTTCCTGACTCATGGGGCCACATCGAGGTGGCATCGACGCCAGGGAGCGTCATCGTCGCCGCAGCGTCGCCGGCCTGCGTGTCCAGATCCGGCTCGTCGGCTGCTGGCCAAGATGGCGGCAACCCTCCTCCCGCTGCCTGGACTCGTCTCCAAGCCAGCAACAGGTGGCCTCCAGTCGCGAACCCAAGCTGTGGACCCGTGCCGACAACAAGCAGCTCCCATCTCGTCACGGACCCGGTGACAGTGCCCGTGCCATTGGTGCATCCCCAGGGAGAGACGCCCAGCCGCCGTACTTTCCGCGGTTCCGCGAACATTTCATCGGGGAGTGACCGGGCCGTTCCTTTCTGCCCCCGGCCAGGCCCCTACTTGGACCCTTCAACGCTGTTCCGGTAAGCCTGCCACGAAGCGTGGGCTGAAGAGTTCGACGGCACCCGGGCTTCACTAGCAAGCAGCGGGCTAGAGTTTTCAGCATGTACCGCGCTGATCGTTTTTTTATTTCTTTGTGTTCTTTTAGCGGCATGCTCTTTTCGCTCTAGCGTTTTTATTTCTTTGTTTTTTTGTTTTGATTTTGTTTTTGAGAGCCGGTAGGCCATTTTATTTTTTTGGCCTACCTTAGCCTTGAGAAGGGGGGAGTGTGGGAACCATAGGGTTCCCTCTATCCCTATCCAGGCCTAGCTTCGAGCAGGCCGTGGGAGCCGTCGTCACCAATGGCGTCGGCCTCCCGGATACAAGGAACCACGAGGCCGAATTCCCCGAAGGGGCCGGCTCTCCCTTGCCCATTTTGGGTGAACGCGCCTTCGGCACACCCTTGAGAGTTACAATGGACGCGACTGCTAGTGGCCTCCCCGGGCGCGTCCATTCTCCGAGGCTACATAAGCTGGCCCCGAAGGTGGGCCAGGGGCTCTCGTCGGCGGAGGCCCTGGCTCTACGGAGCTCGGTTTTTCTTTGTGGGCCTCCGACTTCCCGTGAATCTGTCTAATGCGGCAGCGCGGGAAACCGACCGGGTGATACTGGCAATTGAGCCAGCGCCCAGACTTTTCATTGTCTAAGAGCGAAGCGTGCTGACATTGCAGTCAATAAACACGTCTTTATCCGGACCCGAAGAACCTTCACTGTGTTTCTAAGTGGCAACCCCCAAAAAGGGCGAATCCCACACGTTAACGTGCTGCCATGCTGTTCACGGTCACCGCGCCGACAAAAACATCGTGGTCGCTGTCGTTGGTGCGCTCAGACGCCGACTTGACGGGTGCTCTCGACAAACAATCGGCGTCGCTGTGCTTGCGGCCCGACTTGTAGACAACACTCATGTAAAATTCTTAAAGTCGAAGACTCAGCCGCGCGAGACGTCCTGAGGGATCCTTCTGGTTTGTAAGCCAACAAAGCAAGTAGTGGTCTTTGACCACTTGATACGGCCTTCCGTACAGGCACGGGCGGAACTTTACTATAGCCAAGATGACGGCAAGGCATTCCTTTTTGGTCGTTGAGTAATTGCTCTCTGCCTTGGACAGCGTCCGCCTGGCATAGGCGGATGCTGTGCCGTCCTGCAGTTGGACGATCACCGCACCAAGACCTGTATTACTTGCGTCTGTGTGAATTTCTGTGGTTGAAAATTGGTAGAAGTGCCCGAAATCGGAAGCGTCTGGAGTCCTGGTTTCAGCTCGTCGAAGGCCCGGTGTCGTCCTTCTGTCCATTCGAACTTTACGGCATCTTTCGTACGGTATGTCAGCGGCGCGGACAGTTTGGCGAAGTCCCGAACGAGGCGACCATAGTAGGCGCAAAGCCCAAAAAATATTCGGACGGCATTCTTTTCCGTTGGGCGGGGACAACAGTACGTCGGGAGGCGACAGTACGTCGGCGTAACAGCTGGGTATCGCGAGAGAGAGTCGGTGGTAAATCGGCAATGTGGTGCACGGCACTTTATCTCCTATGTTCGTCATCTGTAATATTTGACCTAGAATGTTCGGGAAAGAGCTAGGGCGAGCCTGACTAGGCATCATTTTTCTTTCCTTATCTTTTATGCTCGGGGTAAGAGTATACGCGAATCTTCTAGAATCTGGATGAATGGCAAACCTATCTTGTCAATCATGCACCCGGCAATATTTATTGAAAAACAGATTACCATAAATGAGAACTTTAATTAGATGCTTGGTTTTTTTATACCGAACAGGTCGCTGGGTTTTACGTTCAGACCAGCATTTTATTTACTGGTTTAACAGAAAAAAAAGCTTAGCTCCTATGGAAACGCAGCGAAGCCACTGGTCTTCAAACAATATGGCGCCGCTTCGCACGGGAGACAAGAGATGGCTCAAGCGGTCCCGATGCCAACTGCCGCCAACGAACGAGCATACAACCGCTTGCGCCATCTCTTGTCTCCCGTGCGAAGCGGCGCCATATTGTTTGAAGACCGGTGGCTTTGCTGCGTTTCCGTAGGAGCTACGACTTTTTCTTTCTTCACTTTTTCCTCAGGTAAGTTTGCTCTTTGCGCATTTTACAAAAAAAAAAAGCAATATGTGTGGGCAACGCTGCACAAAGTCGTAGCGCGATAGGTTAAGAAACCGAACTTTGCGGTCGATTTAAAGAGCCTGGCCTCTCCTTGGGTCACCAGTACAATGGCGAACGTCGGACGGGCCTGTGAAAAAAAAAACGAGGAATGGTGCTCTCATGGTTAAATGAGGCAAAAGTTCGTCTCATTAAACGCTTACTCTTAGTTTTACATTCATCTGCTCTTTTGTATTCTCATCAATATACAGCATGCGCTGTCTATCGTCATTGTTCAAAGTGTTATTGCGTCTTTTAGCTGTTTTCAGCTGATCTGTGAGTTAAGTGTTAATTGCGTTGTTTTCAGCACCAAACTGAAAAAAACGAAACATTTCTGGAGCTGACAATTCTTGGAAGTATTGACACACCGAGGACTATTTTTTCGTCTCTTAAAATTCCAAATATTACATTTATAATGGATAAACTTGCATATCGTGTGCAAAGCCGTAAGCTGATATTTACATTCAAGCAGGTAAATTTGACCATACTGCCACTTTCTACATGGGAAATAATCTAATGACATAGTCTAATATTTTTGCCGTTTGATTTTTTACTTTCATGAGAAAAAAAAAGGAAAAAAAGATGTGCATTTTCGGTGTGGACCGAAAAGAAGGAAACCCATTCTTAAGAATCGATAGATGCGAATGCTCCCAGATCACATTACTTCCACAGGTGTTAACAACAAGAAATATTACAGAACTCACGTAATGTCAAATTTTTTGGAGGCACACATGAAGGATTTATTATATTTTACTAATCTAAACAAAACAATTTAATAGTTAAATGTCAATGCTATTGTCATTAAGAACTTAAAAAAAACGGAGGGCATGAATTACGTAGTTTCTTAATGATTTTTGCTTCTTGTTTCGTGATTCGTCCGTCAGCGTTCTTATCGTCCAATGCCGCACTCATTGGGCTTCAAAATGATAACTAGATGCCCGCGACTAGCCACGCCCAGCGTTGATACAGAGTTTTGCTCGTGGGCTAATATCCACTATGTCCCTAATATAATTTTTTTCGTCTTTTTATACGGTCCGAAGAGTAAAATTTTGGAATTTGCGTTTGAATACTTCTAGCCCTGGGGCTAAAATGCGCGCAGTGGGAGCCACTAAAAAGAATTAAAAAAAAAAAATAAAAAGGTGGTGGGGGGAATCGGTTATTTAGTCAGCCATTCAACTGAAATAGTTTTTACTGACGTTTTACATTTTTAGTTCTTGGCGTTTTGTTCATAGTGGGCGCTACGGGACGAGAAATGTCATCCTTGGGCGCGGCTTCAAACCTAAACTCAGCCGCCCAAGCGCGTCTGTGACGTCGATATCTTCGCTCTGCGCCTGCTCTGGAACCCACGAGCGGGCAGCGTTACCAGCGGGTCGCAAGCGCAGAGCGGTGGGATCGAAACCATAGAGGCGACTCGGCGGGTCAATTTCAGTTTGAAGGCATCCATACAATGATGAGATTTCTCGTTCCGTAGCGAAAACTAATAATTTTTTTTTAAATGAATATTTACTTCCTGACTAGACTTGTACGATACTAATTCCAAGTGATCAAATTTGTTGTAATGGATAAGTTATCAGAATAATATTGGAACCATTTGATTATTTTTATCATGTAGTAATCACTAGATTAATATTTCTACTTTTACAGTAATAAAATTGCTTTTAACCGTTGCTAATTTTTCAACCCCATTCGAAATAATTGTTGGGCTTACGACTACTTAATAATCATATTTTGATAACAATGCTACCACGTCATTAGGTCCTAAATATTTCGAGAAAAAAAATCAAACTATTGCAACTGGCAAGCACAAAAGAGGGTCAGACTCTGCTTGAGCAGTTTAAGAAGTGTTGTGTTTCGACCTGGGAGTGTAAAGCACGAATTCTCTACAGAAGCCTTTCAGTGAGCAGTTTGGTTGCTAAAGTGCAGGTGTGATTTCAATAACCGTTAAAGCAGTCCACCTCTCCCCTCTTAAAACATTACGAATCTGACTCAAAGCACCTCTGCACTATGGTGTCCGTAAGATAACTGAGACCAGATGATGTCAAAGCTAATGGGCGACAAAAAAATAAGCTTTTCGTGACATCCAAGAAAGCCGGCAGAAGTTCCACGAGAACTGAGAAGATGAGTTGTTTGTAAACCGTTTATCTTAATTCCCAATCAGAGAGTACAGAAACCCCGATTTTAAACCTACAAGGAAATCGTAAATAAGATTTTTTGTTGTTATTTCGCAAGCTTTGTTTAAGTTTTGTTTCTCGATGTTGCAAACGATCACGGCATGAAGCTTCTGAATGCATCCGAAAAGTAACGGTTACTTCTTCAAGTGCTTTATCACTCAAGTAATCTAGTTAAATCATTTTTAACCAAGAGGGGTGGTACCTATAATCAATTTCTAGTAACGTTATAATACTGCTCAAACGTAGTGCTAATGCTTGTCCCTTAATATTCATGCATCCCACGTGGCGCCCCAGCGTGAATAAAAAGTTGAGCTAATGTTCCTTTTTTTTTTTTATTCACAGGTGAATTACACTGTAAGCAAAGTCTGCTACGCAGAAACTCTCATTTCAAGTTTGAACACTCCTGTCGACAGCTGATCGCTTCATTTCTGCTCTAAATGCGATATCTGCTCTTACGCTTTGTGTGCAATAAAACATTATCCCCCGAAGCATACCTTCTAAAATTGTGATATCTAATTTAGTGACAACGTTGGGGCCAAAGTGTGAGTGATTGCTGCTTCTGGTGTGCGATAAAAAGTAGATATTGTGAGAACGAGCGGTATGGAAACGGTAGTCAAAAAGGAAGAGCATGGAAAAGCCAGGTGAACATAAATAAACTTGAACGTGATGACCATCTATATATATATACCCTTGTGACAGTTGTAACAAGAGAGCTGCAGGTGTCTAGGGCGGTAGCCGCACGTGAAGGGACTAGCTGGTGCAGAGCCAGAAGAGAAGGACGACGGGGCTACGAGGGGCTTGGCAAGTGCTGCTGTTCCGGCGAGCTATAAACCATATTTTGTTATCTTAACAACTGGCGACGAGATTAAGACTACGAACCATGTTATTATAACAAGTATTTGACCGGGTTCCGGCGAAATCTACCGCGAACATCATGCCAAAGTTAGAGCCGTTTACGGGGGAAGGTGGTCAGGAATTGGAAGAGTATGTCGAGATTGTGGATCAGTTCTTTATCGCGAACAACATCGTCGCAGACAAGCAACGAGCCGTGTTTCTGAGAAGCTGTGGCAGGCCAACGTACTCACTGCTGCGCAGGCTGCTGACACCCATGAGACCTTCGGAGGCCCCTCTCGCCAGAAGTCTTGAGTTGCTGACAGAGCATTACTCCCCGCGACCGTCGGTGATTGTACAACGGTATCATTTCTACTGCCGTACACAAGACATCGGGGAAACCATGAAGGAGTTTGTTTCCGGCCTGCGCCAATTGGCCGACCGGTGCGAATTCGGGGCGGAGTTGGCGAACAACCTTCGTGACCGCATTGTGCACGGCATCAGGAATGACGTGATGCGGAGGAGGCTACTGGAAGAGCCTAACTTGACGTTGGATCGGGCGGTGTAGTTAATCACAAGCATGGAAGCCGCCGCAAGAGGTGCTGAACAGACCACCGGCTGAGCGAGCGGGACAGCCGAGACAGCGGTGAACCGCGTGACAGCACCGTCGACATAGGCGCAGTCAGCGGAAGAGCGACGCAGCTGTTTCCTTTGCGGCGGCAAGCACCGGGAATCAACGTGCAAGTTTGTAAATAGTGTTTGTTTCAAATGCCGGCAACGAGGTCATATATCAAGACTGTGCCAGAACAAGACAAGTCACGAAAGCAGAGTCAGCAGCAACGACAAACATCGCGAAGGAAAAACGAAGCAGACGCTGAACTCGACTCGGACACCAGCAAACAGTTCGGTGCACGTCATGGAAGCTCAAGACAGTGAAGAGTCAGATTCGAGCGTCGTGGGGGTCCTCTGGCCGTTAAACCCGATCGAAAAAATAGCGCTACTGGGAAACGGCCGAAAAGAGGCACCAGGGTTCAAGGACCCGCCAATTTTTGCAGAAGTGACGATAAAAAGAAAAACTGTACAAATGGAGCTGGACACCGGAGCTGTGTTTTCGGTTATGGATGAGACTGAGTTCGAAAGACGGTTTCCAGATACCGTCATCGAACCGTCAACCGTTAAACTGCGGGGCTACTTCAGTCAGCTGGCTGCCGTAGTCGGCAAGGCGACGGCCACGGCGGAGTTTCGCGGGAAAGCTGAGCTACTACCTTTGTTTGTTGTACGAGGTGGTTCCCGGGCTCTCCTGGGACGGAACTGGGCAAGGGCTTTCAACCTGCCTCTAGATCAGCTCGTCAATGTGCATCAGGTGAGCAGCACTGAAGAGTTGGCAGGCAGATTTCACTCCGTGTTTTCTGAAGGATTAGGGACGCTGAAAGGAATGAAAGCAACTACCAGCGTACCGGAGGGAGCCAGACCCAGGTTTTCCCGACCGCGAACTGTACCTTTTGCGTTGCAAGACCTGGTAGCGCAAGAATTGCAACGCTTACAGCGCGACGGGATTTTGACCCCCGTACGAACGTCAGAGTGGGCGGCGCCTATCGTGCCTGTACTAAAGAAGGATGGTAGGATACGAATTTGTGGCGACTTTAAACTCACAGTCAACCAAGTGGCTATTACAGAAGTGTATCCGGTACCGAGACTGGAAGAGATGTGGGCGAAGCTTGCGGGGGGAACAACGTTCTCTAAGCTAGATCTCCGCGATGTGTACCAGCAGATTGAACTGGAGCCGGCAGTTAAGTTTGCCACAATTAACACGCAGAAAGGACTGTTTCAATACAACAGGCTGCCTTTCGGAGTAGCGTCGGCTCCCGCCATATTTCAAAGAGAGATGGAAAATCTTCTACGAGATTGCAAAGGCACCATTGCCTATTCTGACGACATCTTGGTCACAGGGGCAACAGAAAAGGACCACTGCCAGAATCTGGAGGCAGTCTTAAAGAAGTTAAGTGAGGGCGGGTTGAAACTCGAACTGGCAAAGTGTTCACTTTTGCAAAGAAGTGTGGAATATTTGGGACACATTATTGACGCTAAAAAAATTCACCCCGCACAAAAAAAAAAAAAAAAAATCGAAGCGGTAATCGACGCGCCAGAACCCTCGAATGTCAAAGAACTACAGAGCTACCTTGGATTACTAAACTTTTACCGAAAGTTTATGCCAAACGTGTCATCGGTGTTGCATCCGCTCCATAAACTGCTGAAAAAAGGGGAGGCCTGGAGTTCGGGTGCTGAGGAACTAGCGGCGTTCAACAGAAGCAAAGCGATGTTGACGTCTGCATCAGTGCTAGTGTATTATGACCCGAGCCAGCCGGTGGTACTATGCTGCGATGCGTCACCATATGGTGTCGGTGCGGTATTGGCGCACAGAACAAGTTCCGGGGAAGAAAGGCCTATTGCTTTTGCATCCAGGCGTCTAACCGCAGCTGAAAAAAACTACAGCCAACTAGATAAAGAGGGCCTGGCCGTAATATACGGAGTGACAAAATTTAACCAATTCGTGTGTGCACAGACCACAAGCCATTGCTGGGTCTTCTAGGACATGATTGGGGAATCCCACAACAGTGCTCTCCTCGAGTGCTTTGATGGGCGTTAACGTTGAGCGCTTACTGCTATCGACTGGTATATCGACCAGGGGTCAATCTAGGAAATGCGGATGTGCTGAGTCGGCTGCCACTGCCTGGATCCTCGTTCAAGGACCACGTGGCTGGGGAAGTGTTCATGCTGGAAAAGCGTTTCCGTCGTTGTTGTCGGCAGCAGCGGTAGCACAGGCTACAAATAAGGACCCCATAGTGTCGACAGTACGAGAGGCTTTGTGGTCCGGGAAGCGTCTACCAGCATCTGCTGATTGGAGGACGTTCTCATGCCGACTAGAGGAATGTTCAGTGCAGGACGGCTGTGTATTGTGGGGTTGCCGAATAGTAGTACCAACATCACTAAGGCCCGCGGTGTTGAGCGTGCTACACGAGACACATCCGGGTATTGAGAAAATGAAAATGGTCGCTCGGAGCCATGTTTGGTGGCCACGCATAGACGAGGCTATTGAAAACAAAGTAAATGGTTGTACCATATGCCAAGTTCACCGGCGGGCACCGAGGTCGGTGCAACAAACACCATGGCCATTCCCGGAAAATGCATGGTCACGTCTACATGTTGACTTTGGAGGGCCGTTTCAGGGCATCTATTTCTTGGTACTAGTTGATGCATTCTCCAAGTGGGTGGAAGAGCACCGGGTGCCCTCACCATCGGCTAAAGCCACAGTGGAGTGCTTGAGATCAATCTTTGCCACACACAGCCTACCTGATGTGGTCGTCAGTGATAACGGGCCGGCGTTCGTCAGGGCGGAATTCAAAGAATTCCTGGCAAGAAATGGAGTTCGTGCTATCACTATTCCACCATATCACCCTGCCTCAAACGGCGCTGCAGAGAGGGTGGTACAAACGATAAAAGAAAAGCTAAAGAAAGCTAAACCAGAATGTTTCGAAGTCAAGATTCCGAGAATTCTTTTTAATTACAGAACGACGCCACATCACCTGACTGGACGAACACCAGCAGAGTTGTTGATGGGGCGACGCCTAGAAGTCTTCAGATCTTGCTTGAGGGCTTCGTTTGACCACATCGCTCTCAAAATAGCCAAAGATCCTCGCACTCTTCTCCCGTAGAGTAACTCGAAAGGCGAAAGCCTGAGGCTCGGCAGTGGAACCTCTCTGTAGGCAAACAGTAGAGCTGGAAGGTATCGGTCCCAGTCCTTGGGCCTCTCCTGGCACATCCTTCTTAGCATTTGCTTGATTGTGCCGTTGAATCTCTCCACCAAGCCGTTGCTTATGAGATGGTACGGAGTGGTCAGGAGGTGCTTCATTGATAGAAGTCGACTCACCTCCCTCATTAGTTCTGAGGAAAACCTGGTCCCGTGGTCGCTAAGGATGTCTTGTGGCACACCGTACCTCGTGAACATCTCTACCAGTGCTTCGGCCACCTGCTGGGATCCAATGTTCTTCAACGCTACCGGATCCGGGTATCTCGTAGCCATATACAGCATTGTCAGCATGTACCTGTTTCCCGAGGTCGCGATTGGTACAATGGGGCCAATTATGTCTATCGCGACTTTCTGAAAGGGCGTCTCGATAGTCGGCATGCTTCCTAAAGGTGCCTTGCCCTGCTTGCCCTTGGGTACTGTGCGTTGCCACACATCGCACGACCAAACGTATCTCTTGACCTCGCTCTGCATACAAGGCCAAAAAAATTCTTCCGCCCCCAGGTTGAGCGTGTTCTTCATACCCTGGTATCCTGACATGATTCTGTCATGTGCTAGAGCCACGACGGCGCTCCCGAACCTTCTCGGGAGTACAAGTTGCTCTACCCTTCTGCCGGATGAATATTCAACGGCCCTATGTAGCAAACAATTCTTGAGAAAAAACTGGAACTTCGTCCTGCCCTTGTGTTTTCTGATCGTTTCCCCTATTTTACCAAAACACTTCATGAGAGTTTTATTCTCCTTTTGCTCCATGGCGAGCTCCTCGGTTGTCGCATCGATC